TACATGAGTGGTGCTGATTGACGTTTACTCCTGTGAAATACATATGTATGTTTTACGGGATAAAGAAACCTTTTCTGTTCTCTTTTCTGTCTTCCTACATCTTCTCCCGCTTTGGCTGAAAAGCTTTTGTTTGTCTGTTTCTTTGTAAGGAAGAGTGAAAGTGAATTTCGGTGGATTTGATTTAAATCAAATTAATTTAAATCACGATTTAAATTTTAAAAATTGGATTTTTTTTGATAATTTAAATAGAAGAAATCAATTTTTAAAATTTACTGTAAGTTGTGATTTAAATCAATATTTTTTAAAAAACAATTGATATTTATCCACCCTTTAACACAGACATTTACATGCTGATCTCTATAGTGTGTTTGCATTTTTTCCTCCTTAACTGATCTTTGCAACTAATACTGGGTATCAGTGGGAGAGGGCTTTACGGACTAATGCCATTGTTCTTTGCCAATAACTTGATTGGTAAATTCTTTTTTTGCCCCTGCCTCTGGTATTTGAGGAAGTCTTTTGCTCCTTTCTTTGTTTATTTCTGCTTCCATTGTTTTTTTAATAACAGACTCTGCTAGCCTCCAAGCAGAGAGCATTCAGGTGCTCCTGCATGCTGGAGACTTCCCCTTTTTTCCACTGACTGCAACTACTGATAATTACTGCAAGTAAAGATACCCGTTTGTCTACTTTAAATGCTTCTAGAATGATTTGAACCATTTAAAGAGTGCTAGTTTTGTGTGCCAGTCTCTCCTAATTTTTGCTAACTAAATGAATAGCCAGATTCTTAGACCCTCCTTTTTAACCAAAATCCACAACATAGTGCACTAACCATAGAATGTAAACAAAGGAAAGGAGGAAGGACACATAAAGCCTAGGAAAGCTTTTTGCAAGGAACGAAACCCTGGTTTGCACCCCTGGATATGTTCACACGGAACAAGAGGTTTTAATTTGCAGAACTAGCAAGGTTTTGGAGGGCCCGGGAACTCAGGTTTGCAGATGGCAACTGACATAAGGGTTCCTGTTTGCAGACTGCCGAGGTTTTGCTTGTTGAAACCTGCTGCGCCAGGGCAGGACTGTAAGTTCTACAGGTGAACTTCTGCCCTTCACCATTATTGGAATGTGGCCTCTGAAACCCTTCCAAAATTGAAATATGGTCCCTGGGCTGGAAGAGGTTTTGACCTAGGCTGTAGAAGAATGTGGAGGGAAAAAATGCCATATAAGAAAAGCAATGCAAAAATTTATATTTTATTTTAATTCAAAAATTTAAAATAGCTCTCAAATTCAGTAAAGAATGCTGAGACACAAAGGCTAAGCCTCATATACAGAGACAGGATAACTTAAAATGTTATATATTGCAGACAAGCCAGCTTTATGTGTAGAATACATATTTACAATCAGTTTTCTTTTTTTCCCTTGATTTTTTATTTATTTTTTAATGGAAACCATATTTATACATTTTATTACATTTACAAAAAAAGCTGAATTTTCCACTGCCGTTTACTACAATAATGAAAAAAAAGAAAAGAAAATTTACATTGTGTCTTCCCCCCCCACTGTACAAACCTTTGTTTCATAAAAATATATCTCTGTACAAAAGTGTTTTTTTATCCATTTTTTCTTCTATTTTTTCTGTTAAACAGTGACACGAGTCCATTGGGCACTGAAAATGACCATAATTTCTTGTCCAGCGTTGAAAAAGCCACAGGGAGTTCAGAAGTGTCTCTCCTTACCCCCCCCCCCATTCGCATAGATAAAGGAGTTCTTTTTTAAAAAAGAAAGAAATGATAAGAATGATGCTTCTGATGGGGGAATAATCGAGTGCAGGCCTTCCCGTGCCCTAATATTTGAAGCATAGATAGCACAACTTGGAAGGGCAGTGGGGTTTGTTTCTTTCCGAAGGAAATGCTTTTCACAGTGACTGCTCTGTCAATTGATGCCCTTGGTGTTGCAGAAGATTCTGGGGAGCATTTTAGGGTGTAAGGTTGATTCATGTGGTTCTTTCGACCCTGTTAAACTAAGAATTTGCCACGGAGCGTACCAGTCAATACTGAAGAAAGAACAGAAATTGTGCGGAAGATGTCTTCTTGAGAGTCAGGCAAGATAATTATATTTGTTACTCCCCCCCCAACACATTTTGATGAGATGCTCCATCAAGTGGTGAAATTTGCCTCATTTTCCTAGTAGGCTCTTTTCTTCACCTACATATTTTAGATCTAGCATGCTGCGTTTTGTGATTGGCCAGTGGAAGGCAAACATGGGTTGAATTTGCAACTTGGCTGAGACACAGAGCTAAAGAAATCTGTTAGGAGGGAAAGGTGTGTGTAATCAATAGAAATCTGCATTCTTCTTAAGAACTACTCTGACTCAGAGGAGACGTTCTTGATCTTATTGTGGAATGCTGGAAAACTTGTAGTGAATACTCTCAAGTTTTTGCTGTTTGAAAACCTCTTTCGGTGATGCTTTCTAAGATAAATTAAGAATTAAATACTCTTGGAGCATGAGACTGTGAAGTTGCCCTTCTTCTGAGATGGGAGGACGCTATGTGAATAACCATTCAGAACAGGTCGGTTTATCAGAGAGAACAGTATACCTATGGACTTGACCCTATTGTGACTGAAAACAGGCAGCACAAAAGCCAATCCGTGGGGGCAGCCCTGGCAAGCCGAGGGTCCTTGGCAAGGGTCTTTCAGGATGGTTACTCAACGTGATAATTCTGGGGTAGTGTTGCATGGTAGAGGTTAGATTTGGAAGAGTAGACACCGGTGCATGCAGTTAACTCTCAGTTTCTCACACCAAATCACCATTAAGTTGAGGGGTATCTTGGCTTAAGAAATGGGAGATTCTGGAAGAATTTCTGTTAGCTGGTGGGACAGAAAGAGTGGTTGCACCTGATCTTTCAAGCCAGTGGTAAAAGATGTCACTTCTGTACCAGATAACACTCGTGCATGCACACACAAACAAAACTCCCGACATGTAAAACCTAGGTTTCAAGGAGATATCCCATCCCGCTTTTCCCTGCCACGTGCTATTTTTTTCCATGTGAATATGAAGGCTGAAGAGCAAAATGGCGCTATTTCATTTTCTCCTTTGAATTCCAAAAGCAGAAAGGACAGTTGGCGTTAACTTTAAAACGGCCAAGCTACCCCACTACTTCTGCACTAGAGAAGTCGTAACTCTATCCTGCGTTTGAGTAAACTGTGCCGTTTTCCCCAGACAACTCATGGGCGTTGGCTCCGTACTGATTTCCTGAAATAATAGCTGTTTTTCAAAATAAAATAATTGGTCTTTGCTACATTGGAGAGTGGGGTGTACTCTGTAGTTTCCATTGGTCCGGAAGTAAACAAGGAATTTGGTCTGTGTCTTTTCTAATTTGAGCCAAATTCTACTGATGGTGTGATAATCTGAGTCATTCCAGCTGGAATGCACAGAGGTAAGACATGATTCGAGTCCCAAAGCAACCAGTGTAGGAACTTAATCCACCTTTACTTTTCTCTCACCCTTTGATGCATTAAGTATTTGTAAGAAATAAGGCATGATTGTTATTTTTCTGGCCCCGTTTTCCTAATATCAGGTTGGGCCATGAAAGTGCTGCCCAGTGAATTGAGGTGAACTTGCTCTGTGGAACGTTTTTTGCTGTTTCCAAGCCCTCCCTAGAAGTCTCAGCTGTTGTAACTAAGGGTGGGATATTTTTGGATTTCTTGGACTGCATATCCCCAAATTCTCCATTCTGGGAGTTCTGACAGACAGACGGACAGACACCTTTATAGAAACCTACATTTGGCTCACCTGGGAGAAAGGCCTGACGCAGAAGGCTTTGATGGTGAGCTCGGCCTAGCTCTGCCCAAGCTTCCTGTTCCAAAAGCTCCCATCTGGGATTGAGGGCAGGGAGCTTGGGCAGAGCTAGGCCGAGCTCAGCCTTCTAGGGGAGGCCTTTCTCCCGCTTGTCTTTTTGTCTGGCAGAACTCCCAGAATTTGGAATTACAAGATTTGCAGTACAACTCCCATCCCTAATGATAATTTTCACCCCAGACATCCTCTCCAAGCTGCAAGAGTGACACGAAACGTTATTAGATCTGGGAAGCTGACACCAACCGTTTCTCCCGTATTTAGGATAAGCTGGAAAGAAAGCAATCAGCCTTCTTCCTTTATAATAGTATATATATATTTTAAAAGTAATTGTATTTGAAGCTTTGGATTTTCCTTTGGGATTCTGAAGTGGCTTTCTGTGGAAAATGCACAAAGAAGAAAGGGCAAAGTGTTTTTACCATGGGGTTATTGTTTGAAAAGTTCTTTATGGTTTTTGAACAAAATTCTGAAGGGACGTATCCTGTCATCTCCCTCATGCAGAGTTTAAAGTCCAGACCTCAATATCTTGGTGTTGTGTCCACATCCCATGTGTGTTCACACTTGCAGTTTCCATTGACAAAAATTAATTAGTTACAAGAGGAAATGCCTATACGGCTTTAAATGTTTGCCGCTGACCACGCTGAGAAAAGGCACAATCCAGCCAAAAGTGAACCAGTTTGAAATTCCTCTGGTTTCGTTGTCGAGACTGAGGTAACATGAATGGATTTCAGATTGACAGGATTTTGAGCAGATTTGCTCACATTGGGACAAGCAGTCACAACAATTCCTCAACCCATGTTTTAAAGCCGTGTGAACTAGATGCTACTTTCTGTATTTGAGGTGGTCTCAGGTTCTCCCATTTCCGATTCACTATGGAGACTCTAAATAGTTCACTATAATATTCTCCATTTCAGGTTTGAGCACTGCTGTGTATTTGAAACACTGTCAGTTCCAAGTTTTGTACGATGTAGTCTAATGGCACTTTTAAATGCCGCCTGAGAGGTTAAATTTAACTGCTGCCCCCAACCATACTCCAAGGGATTGACGTAAATGCTGTTTTAGATTGCAGTGATTGTTTCAGACGGTCTATTCTAGGATTGGTGACTGGATTGAGCCTGGAGAATTCGTAATACTTATATTCTATATTCTTCTTCCAGGACAGCGTATCGGAATAGCCCATCAGTGGATGATGTGGAGAAACCTTGGGATGAATGGAAGCTCATGAAAGCAAGGCATGTGGAGCTACTGGGAGAGAAAAGGTGATTCTTTGGCACGTCTTTATTTATTATCAGAATAGTAAATTGAATTTGATTAATTTAAAATCTGCATTAAGGGTCATTCTTCAGATCACCTTTGGAGGATTGTTACCCCGACTCTTGCATGTGATTTCCTTATTCAACACTGTATCTACAGTGATACAGAAATGTTTGGCTCATTTGTGCTTGGAGAATTGCAAGTGTGAACATATTCAGTTAGACAGAGGAAGGATTTGCTTCTCCATCTTTCCAACGCACATGGTCACGAGAAGGGTGCAGGCATGCTGCATCCAAGTGGGGTTTTACAAGAAAGACTTGAGCTACGGTTTCTCCATGTCACTTGCACCCTGTTCCTGATTGTGTCTAGATTGGTGCAACACTCGGTACCTTGCCCTGTCTCCCATGGTCAGCTGTAGAGATTGAAGAAGCACCAGGGTAGAAGCTGAAAATGGTATGCGGATGATGGTGGGAAATGCATGTGGTCATCTCATGACCAACTTGGTGTTTGAGATGAGATGGGGAACAAAGAGATGGGGGTGGAACAAAGTGATAGCGCCATGATTTCGGGAACCTCTAGCAGAGTCCTGAGATGAGGCTTCCGTAGGTCAGTATTTGAGCACATGCATCTCATGGTGAAGGTTTTGGGCTCAATGCTCAGCATTGCATCTCCAGCTTGGGATAGGAAAAGACCCTTTGTTTAGAACCCTGGCGAGCCACTGCCAGTCAGAGTTGACATTGATGAGCTGAGCTTAGATGGATCCATGATTAGGTATAAGGCAGCATTCTGTGGCTAATGGACTGCTCCAGCCTAAGAGAAATCCCTGGATTTTTATTATTAGCACTGAAGGGCAGCAGTAGAAGGTCTTCTTTTGCAGCATCAGATGAGCAGGAGTGGGTTAGGCTCGTTAACTTTCTTTCATTTACTGGGCAGCAGAGAGCATAACAGCCCAGAATATAATGGAATAAGAAGAAAAAGCTCACCACCCTACGGGCAAATAATAGCCATCCTGCTACATTGGTTTGGGATGGGACAGATGAAAAAACACAGTTGGGATTGTAACTCTCAGTGGCCGTGCTGAGAGGTGTTTCTGGTAGTCTGAGAAAATAATGTAACTAGGTTCTGGAAAATGAAAAATGGCTCAAATCCTAGTCAGTATTTACACCAGTACAAGCATGATGGCATAAATTGTATTGGTGAATTGCTGCTAATTAACAAGCTGTCATTTGCATTCCTGGTTGTGCGCCAGTTGGACGACTGGTCACACAACCGGGCACATAACCAAGAACGTGAGCAGCAACTCGCTATTCAGTAACAAAGCACCACCACAGTCGGTGCTGTTACCCTTAATGCTGACGTCAGTTCCTTACAGGATTCTGGCTCATATGTGGAAAATAAATGAGGGGTGTTACACAGCACTGGTGCTACAGGCGTTAATCTCATGCCCTTCATACTGCCATATTCCACAACAAGCCAGTCCTTTAAAAAAGAGTGAGGGGAACTTGAGTAGTTTGAATTTTCCTAGTGACAAAATGCTGCAATTTAAGGGCCTGGCAACAGGCGATAGTAAATGCCTTAGTTGAAACAGTTGTTTATGATAACTGGCTAGAGAAGGCCACCACCGTTTTTTAATCCTACCTAGAAGTACGGCATTATTGGAAAAGTCTTTATTTGCTGGTGGTCTTGTCAAAACTATTGAAGAACTGTAGCAGGAAAGACATGATTTTTGAGTTGGCCAACTAGATGGGAACTGGAAAAAAGAAGAGAATCTGACCTTAAGATAATAAAGCAGAGATTAAAACTGTAGGATAATAATGATGATGATGATGATGGGGGGGTGCTGTTTAATGGGTTGGTGGGGGGAGAGCAGCATCAGGATTTTGTAGACATCTCAGGGACTTGCAGCAGGACATTGTCATGGAGTATGGAAGAGGGGAGGGAGGGGACAGAAATTTCTGGAGCAACATTTTCTGTCTTTGCTGGACCTGCTGTATTATGGGCTCTTTTGTCCCAAGTTCTTGGCATCCACAAGATTTTCTTCACCACAACATTTACTACTTCCTCAGGCAAAGTGGGTATGAACGTCAGTAGACTTCCCATGACATTGCTACAAGATGCTCTCTCCCTGCCCCCCAAAAGGCAATCACCTGCTAAACACGAGCAACGGGGCAGCATCTGGTCTCTGAGCGGTAGTCCCCAAGTTCTCAAGTTGGCCAGGATCAGCTAGAAAACGGCTCAAAGGTGAGGAGGTGATGGCCGTGGCAGCGGCGGCAGCGGGGGGATTGGTCCACTCCCCTATGCTCTCAACAGGAGGGCTGGAGTGGATGCTTTGGTTGGTTTGATTATCAGCTGCAGGGCAGAACAGATGGGCAATGGAGATGCGGAGTGGTGATCAACAGCAAGGCAGTCCTCCTCTCTCTGTCTCTCTCTTTCCCTCCCCGGATCCAACTCAAAGGCACCCTATCATCTCCACATCCCCAGCATCGCTGGGAGGGGTGATCATGGGCAAAGATGAACCAGGAGGAACACTGGGCACTGGCGAGGCTCCTGTTCCTGGAGCATGCTGTAGAGGAAGAGAGAAGGGGAATCCGCAGGGAAGGAGGAGAAAGGAAGAGAGAGAGAGAGAAAACCTCAAGCAAGGCCAGCTTCACATCACAGAGAGTCAGCTTTGATTTACCAAACCATTAACTAGCTTCTTTTCTCCCACAATGTTGCAATATGTGAAAAATTATTTATATTATGACCTCTCCTAAAAAGAGACCCTTTTAAGGCAGTTAGGAACCGTCGTAAAAGCCAATAACATTTTTTTAAAAAACGCCAAAAATAGGAGAGCCAAACAAATGGTGATAATAAACAAGGTCTGGTTACTGAACGGCCATGCGCTCCCTAGAAGGGACAGGGTGGTGTAAGGTTTATGAGGAGATTTTGCAGAGAAGCACCCCAGGTAAACTTTCGTAGTGCCTCTATTCGGGCTGAATTAACCCAGCTCATTTCAGGAGTCCTGCCCAGACCCACATTCCTGCATTTTCTGCGTCTCTCTCAAATCGTGGCAACCTCAAATCCATCCCGTACTTTGCCATCCCTTTTCCCTACACAGGCATGCCCCATCCCAAGCCCCATCACTGGCCCAGCTCACTGTCCACCCAACACCTACATTCCCATCCTGACATGTAGACCTTCTCATTGTGTTGGTAAGAGAACTGTATGAGAGAGAGGGACAAGGAAGGAGAGGAATGCTGGTGATAATAATATCATAATGGGGATATATAAATACAGCTCATTGTGGATCCATTTTTCAGACAACACCCATGGTGGGCAGTCTGTTAAAAACCTGTAGCCATTGCTCTAGAGCAGTAGTATCCAACCTTGGATAACCCTGCTGTTTTTGGACTGCAACTCCCAGAAGCTTTCCTTGGGAGCTGTGCTGGCTGGAGATTCTGGGAGTTGCAGTCCATGAGCAACTGGGTGACCCAAGGTTGGGAACCACCGCCCTTTCACAACCTTGCATGCATTCAGCGCAGCAGCAAGGCACCATGCCACAAGCATGGCAGCACACAATCCATTATTGCAGTGTCTCCCTTGCTGGGGTTGACAACCCCACTGCGGAGATGCTCAGGAAAGAAGGATGATCAGACTCATCCCGATAATGCAGCATGAGCTGTGTTGGTTTGGCATTATGTTGTGCAACTGAGGAAAAAAGCGTCGAGACCTTAACATGTCCAGATGTGATCCTTCCCAGCTGCAAGCAAAGCTTCCTAAATGAGAGCGAGGAACCCCTGCCAGGAAGCAGAATGGTGATCGAAACATCCCATTTAGCTTTGGGTTGTCAGAGTTCCTTGGCATGGGATAAATTTGGAGGTGATGGGAAAAGGCATGGCATTGCAGAAACTAATCCCCAAATTACCATCTAATCCAGTGCTGTAGAATATGGTATAACACCTGCCTGATTTTTTCCCCACAGGGGAGTTTGGCAGATGTCTCTGAAATGGATTTCAGCAGCTGCTAAACATTGTTGTCAACAAAGCTGAGCTGTGGTCTTTTAAAAAAAAGTGCAGTGGGATTGCTGAAAAGGTAGGTTGAAGTCTGGTACTTTTCATTGCTAATGATCAGGAATCTGTTCCTGAATGGGCAAGCTTGGAGTTTTGGTAAATTTGATCCCAAATCCTCTCCTTTGGCTGCAGGGGCAAAGTGCCCATGTCCTGAGCAGCTTATGGTTCTCTCAGCATGCACCATCTCCTGTGATGTGAAAAAAGAGGAAATGACGTGGTTGCAGAAGTTTGATTTCAGCTATAACTGTCATGGCTCCCTCCTTTAAAATTCTGGAATTCTTAGTTTGGGAAGAGACTCAGCAATCGCTGCTAAACAACAACCCTTGTGCATCCCTCTGAATTAAGGCACTATAGCGCTGTAGCGGTAGTCCTAAATTCACCCCAGCCTAATATCAAATCTCGGGTTTCATAGGATGAGGCCATGACAGTTAAAGTACTATCAAGATGCTGCAGTTGGGCAGGGCAGATATACACTAAGTGAGACTGACTGTGGCAAATCTGAGAGCATGCAAGGAAAACTGTTAAAACAAAAATTCATGATGAATGAGAACTTCAGTAGAAGTTCCGATCAAGTGAAAAGAACGTTCGGTGGGACTTACTGCGCAGGATTGTAAGTGCTATACTGCAGTACACACGGTGCTGACTGTAAACTCTGCCTCGTTGGCCATGATGTCTGTCGGCTGCAAGTTGCGGTCGTACATTGGGTTTTCAAATGTTCCTCGAACGTTGGTGTTTTCATGGCCAGCATAGCCATTGAATGGCACCTTCGGTCTCCTTCTGTACCAGACGGGACCAACAAGACAGAAAGACAAGAGAGAAGACGCTGGGTGGTGCTGAGAACAACATTGTGTCTCCTCCAGAAAGGCAAGTAGAAATGGATGAATTTGTGTGTGTATGTATGTATTAGTAAGTCTTTCCCTCTTTGTACGCAGTGAGCTTGATGCTTATTAGAGTAAAGTAAAGCAGAAAAGCTAGTTACATATTTTTGATCAGTGGGGCATTCTCCTGCTGCCAGGCTGGGCACATAAAATGTTGTGTGATTGTGTTCCTCCACCTTGTTCTCCTGACAAGTTTCCCTGGATTTCTAGAGGCATCTCGGTGCCTGCGGTTAAGAGTACAAACTTCTTTTCCCCACACCAAGGAAGCCATACTGATCCGTGCGACTTTGCTATGTGCTGCAAGATAATTTCCCACCCTAAGGATATGATTTCATCTGAGACTTTAATCTCTCTGTCTGACACCGCGTTTTGACATATCTTCCTTTGCCACTAGTGTTCTCTGAAATCTCTCTGTGACATCTTTCTTTCTTCCTTTCCCCAGCTTTTCCTAGGGCTGATGGCAATGGAATTGAAAAGACAATAAACATGTCAATTTCGCATTTCCTCTAACTGGGAAGATGACGAAATACATCTTGCTTCATGAGTGTCCTGTTAGGCTGTTGCAATAAAGTTTGGGTAGTTTTTTAAGAAGCATTTTTACATTTAACAAATTTATTACAAATTTAAGGACCACTTTCACCTGCTTTCCTCAGCCTGGTACCCTGGGGAGATATTGGATCCCAGCCGTCAGCTTCCCCAGATAAGGCTTCCCTTGCTCAGACATGGTTTGCATGATGGGAGTTGGAGGTCAACTCATCTGGCGCTCAAGACAGAAATGGCCATGGGAGAAATTATGAAAAGCAACTTTTATGTCCTCAAAGTGCCATTACGTCTCTTCGGCCCCGCTCTAGTTGTTAGCCTCAGCTACTGTAGACTCACTGGATGAAATTCTGTTGCTTAGTGTAGTCAGTTGCCCTTGTGGGGCCCCCCACTGAATCAGCAGGAATTTGGTGGGTTCAATACTTCTGTAAATGCCATTGATTCAAATGGGCCTAGTTTAGTTGCAACTTACTTTAGCACAGTAAGTCACAGTTAGATCCATTTGAATCAATGGAACATATGGAAGAGTTGCTTTTCTAAATCCCCACCAAATCAGCTGGCTTACTCTAGTGTAGATTTACTACACTAAGCAGTAGGATTTCACCCATTGAATCAATGGCCAGAATTCAGTTGGTATCCCAGCCAGAGAAAACCCCCAGAATGAATGAGATTTCCATAATGGATTTACCATTCAGCCGTGGATTCAAGTGGGTCTGCTCTTAGTGGGGGCCGCTAGTAGGATTCCAGCCAGTGGGATTTTGTCCCATACATTGAATAGGTTCTGCCTCCTCTGGTTGGAATGAATGGTTTGGATTTCACCCTTTCTTTTCAACGTTTTCTTGCTTTCCTTCCTTTGCTTCTATAGACTCACCTGTGCTTGTAGAGATAGAGCACGAACCCTGCAATAATCAGGGCAATGAAAGGCACGAGGATGGCAGCTGCAACTGAGCTGCTGTTGGATGCAAAAGGATGCCCCATTGACTCAGGATCTCGTTCGATGATGCTACTGTCTGGAAGGGAAAACGCCATTCAGTCACACACACCGTTCTTTTTTGGGAGAGAACAGCTGTGGGCTTTGAGTCTAGAAGTCAGTCCTGCCCCTTATCCCATGCTTGTTAAATATTAAATCAGCAGAGTCCACCCCACCCCACCCCCTGGATTCGGTCTGTGAAACTCTTAATGAACAGATCTCTTGCAGAGTTGCTGAGGATGGCAGCAGGCTGGGATATTTTAAAGCTCCATTCATTCATTCATTCATTCATTCATTCATTCATTCATTCATTCATTCATTCATTCAGTTTATATGTCTCTTTTCTCCCCAGAGGAGACCTAAGGTGACTTACAAACAAGTAGAACTATACAATAATCCTAGTTAAAAACACCATAAGAAACTGTCAAAAAAAAAAAAGAATTAAACATCTATAAATATTAAATCCACCCTTAAAAATAAGTTTAATAATCTAAAAATGTCTGAACTGAATAAACACAGCATTCCCAAGAATTTTTTTTTTTGCTAGCCTTACTGGCAAGGAGAAGTGTTGTAATTACTCATCTTTGTGTGTGAGCAAGGATCCTTTAATGTTCCGAATTGAATAAACACAGCATTCCCAAGACCCCCGTTTATTGCTTAAAGGCCCACCTGGAAAGGTAGGTCTTTGCCAGATGATGGAAGGACCAGATGGAGGGATTGATCTAACTTCATGGGGCAACTCATTCTGTATAGCTCAGTGATTTAGGTATCTGGCTGTGGAGCAGGGCCCCTTCTAGCTCTGCAGTTCTAAGACTATTTATATCAGGGCTGATAAAAAGCTATCAGAATACATTCTGTATGAAGGAGATGTTATACTCCTTGAATCTGTCATTGTTATTAATTTAGGCAGTCTCAATAGAGCAAGGAGCCTCAAGGAATTTTAAAGCCCCGTGAGATTCATCATTTCCAGGAGAGAATAAAAAAGAGTGCTTGTTTCCCCAATTCACGATCTATGTAATTGGCACAAAATATCTGTAATGTCTTTCCCCTCTGGAAAGCATCTCTCTTTTTCTCTCTCTCCGCAAGTACAAGAAGAACAAGCTAATAGTCAAGAAAGATGCAACAAACCCATCTAATGCTTCCAATTTGGATGCCAAATTCAATTTAGATGCCATACTCAATGACTGCACAACATTGTACACAAAGTAGACCAATTTTTGTGCATGGTATTCTTCTCTTCAAAGCAAAAAGTCTTATTGAGAGTGTACAAATTTTTTTTTTTGCTACCCTTACTGGCAAGGAGAAAAGTGTTGTAATTACTCATCCTTGTGTGTGAGCAAGGATCCTTTAATGTTCTCTACAGCGAATGTGTACAAATCTCCAATTGTAGATATTATGTGATGAGTGTGTGTCTGTCTGCATACAAGTACTATGTGTATATATGTGTCATGTAGAGAAAAGTACAGCTTATGACACTACATGTAGAATTCAGCTTTCTACAGATCTCGGCATTCATATTCCTTTTCTTACGTTAAGCTTTTAGCATTTGGGATTGTAATGATGATGACTGATTTCACTGTGCCAGGTGGAATCAGAGATAAAGAAGTATTTGAATATTATTCTAGTGGTTCATCCCAGGTCTTCAGTGGCTTGTATTGTTTCTGGCTTTCCCCTACCCCAGCTGTATTGTTAGCAAACAATAATAGATTAAGAAAAATAGACTTTTTAAAGAAACAAGCAAAGTAAGAGCTGTTAATGCACGTCTGTCCATATTTTGCATAATTTATATGCAAAACACTGACTCACAGCTAGAACCTTTTTGTAAATGAAAACGAAGATAAGATGTTGAAGTATACAGTAATATGGAAATTAACCAATTAAGCAAGGGTTGACAAAGAGGAAAAGCGTTCGGGTTTGTCTTAATTTAGACTTCCTCAACTAATTACTGGCAAAACAAAAATCAAATTACATCTGATACTGTATATATATATTTCAGCTTAAGCTGAAAATATCGCTGCCTTTTGCTGTGCATGAATTACATAAACACCTACCACTTATTGCGATAATGCAACCTGGCTTGAATTAGATTAAGCAAGTGAGGCTTTCAGCTTGAGAGCGGCTTAGCTTACCTAGCCTCTGGAGGCCAAACTGCCCAAAGCCTTTGCCGTGCACAAAACCTTGGTAGACAAATGTCCCACTGGATGATTCTGGGGTGACCTGTAGTGAGGAAGAACAAACAGCATTCGTTTCAGTGTCTTGGGACTCTGAAGATTTTGGCTTGGCGGGTGGATGGGCTATTTCAGAAAAAAGTGATAATGATTTTTGCCAGCAATGATTCATCATCTTCATCCTCCTCCTCCTCCTGCTCCTCCTCCTCCTCATCATCATCTTCAGCTGATTTCAACTGGTGGGGGCTGATTTGGAAGGGTAGATAAAAATCAATTTTTTTTAAAAAAAATTATATCACAATTTAAATCATAATTTAAAATAATTTATAAAGAAATTTAAATCATCAAAATTTGGATTGGTGATTCATTTTTTAAATAACTTGCAGTGTCCAACTTTTAAAAAATACAATTCCCCCCCTCCCCAAAATAGGACATAGATATTGGCCTTTCTTTCCCCATTTCTTTTTTTTTTCCATTTTCTTTTATTTTCCCCTGCATTCTGAAAGTTTAACATGCCTCTTTTTAAAGTTTTAAGTACTGGCAAGGAACAACCCTAAGCTAAAAGAAGCCACAAGGTTTGGTCCCATCCTTTTGCCTTTGGGTCCACCTGCCACTGGAGGAGGGACCAAAGGAACGTCTTCAAAACAGAATCTGGATTTGCAGGTTGGCGCTGAAAATGATTCCTTGGTGTCGATGGTGTCCCAAGGGAAGGATCGGTGTCCCAGTTTGCACCAGTCACTTACATGTCCATCTAAAGCCCATTTATCGTTCTTGAATTTGTTCATGAAAATCTCCACTGGTCCTGTGATCTGGTACACCTGCAGCAGGAGATGCACATCTTCTCTTTTGTAAATACCTGAAGAGAGAACACAAGTGAGAAGACTGGGCCTTCCAAGTTCTTGGCTCGTCTGATTAAGAGACAAATTTAGGGCAGGGATGAGAAAAAGAGAGTTTTTAAAATTATAAGTTGAGGGTCAAGCTAGAGAAGATGCTCATCTCATGTTTAAAAACAGATGTCCCCTAAACAGTAGAGTACATTGGCTCAAGTGTGAGTTTTATTCACCCCCTGTCTTGCATTCCAGGGTGCTTTGTTTTGTGATTGGTCATTGGGAAGTAAACACAGGCTTAATTTGCATGTCTGATTGCAAATTCTCTTGCAAACCCTTACCGAGTTTTCAGGGTATGCAGAAATTTGGGCTCAGGCCTCCTGAATCCTAACTGAACATGCTATTACACTAGACCAGCTATCAAAATTAAATAGTATCATAGCTACTTAGAAAAGAGATGTCTTGATGCTCTTTCCGAAATGGGGAAGCCTGGAAACTGTATGAAGCTCTTTGGGGGGGGGGAAGCATTCCACAGTCTGAGACCCACATGAGAAGATCCCTCTCTTGCATGCCTGTAAAGTGGTTCTTTGCAGCTGTTGGCATTCTTAAGAGGGTCTTTCCTAAAAATATTAACAAGTTCGTAACGAGGCGGGCAGTCCCTTAGAAGCATGTGAAACATGCTTCTAACATCTGCCCTTCCCAAACACCACCCAAACCCTCTCCTCAGAGTGAGGGTCATCAGAAGCTGAAGGGATTGGGCGCCTTACCAGACACCTGCAACTCCACGCCGCTGTGGTCAACGAGGGTGGCATTGACTTTACTGGTGACTGGGTCGAAACTGGTGACGGAGAGCATGGCCGGCTGCTTCTTGCCCATGTACTCATAAGAGCCTTTCCAAAAGGAGTTCTTGGCAAAGACGTCGGCTGGAACTAGAGACAAGACAAGGCAGGACAAGGTGGGGATCAAAGAGTCTTGTGAGGCAGGAGCTTGTGAAAGGTACCTAGTCTTGGTTTCCGCATCTTAAGGCCGCATCAGATCAAAACGAGATTTAGAATAAAAACAGCCGTAAGAACTTGGTAGTCGCAGTTTGGAGGTCGCATCCTTTCCCCTTGTGCTCAGTAAGGGCCAGCCCTGCAGCATAGCAAAATGCAGCGATGGACCTTGCAGGGTGCCTTGAAAGAAAGCGGGAGGAACTAGATGGAGGCAAGGACTCATGGCCAGAGGCTTCAGCAAGATCTTTCACTCCCCTTTGCAGAGGCTGGGGGCCATTAGGTGAGCCTTGCTTTCAGCAGCAAAATGAACAGGGCTGGCCACGCACGGAACTAGAAGGGGATCCAGTGGTAACTTGGTTTATGAACGCCTCGGTTCACATAATTTTCGGCTTACAAATGAAAATCCATTGAAACTAATGCCTCGGTTTATGATTTTTTCCCGCAATACAAAACAAGTTGACATTGCACCTGGGAGGTTTATAGCGCCGCCCCGTGCATGCATTTCCTATGGGAAACCGTGTTTTGGTTTGTGAATTTTTTGCATTATGAAACGTCCCGGAGAATGCATTAAATTCATAAACTGAGGTACCACTGTATTGTTATTTGGACTGGCTTCAGAGTCTAGGGACAAGGATGGGCAAGAGATCTGCAGCCTCCTCTGTTGCTTCCTTGCTCAGGAACATGAACATCTCTCTGTTCCTATTTCTGCGTCCTTCTCTGGATCTCTTTCACTTTCATCCAGTCCTTGTTTTGCATCCAGTTGTGAGACTGTATTTCCTTTGCTCATGTAAATCTGTGCCCATTTTAATGTGTTTTTCCTAAAATGCACATTCATTTATGCATTTCCTCTGATTTCGTGCTTTTCCCCCACTGACCAAAGTGCGCCCATGCATAATTTTACCAATTCTTTCTATTTTAGCCCCTGGCATCAAGTCATGTGTGTTGTTTTGAGTGCACTTGAATTCTCTTCAACTCCCCATCAGTCTCACCCATGTGCAGATGCTCTGGGCGAGGTGCATTCGTTCTTACAACAATTTGAGAGAGAGAGAAGGAGAGAGGGGTGAAAAGGCTATTTTCATTGAGACTAACAAATCCAACAAAATTATTTATCATTTCTAACTCTGTCACAGAGCAGTTTGTGGTGCCGTGGACACTGCCACCACCATCCACATTGCCATATTTGTGTAAGCATCACTTTGTTCTCCCATTCCATCCCAGTTGATGCAAATTTAGTGGCTGCTATCATTTTTTTTAAGTGCTGGCAGTGTCAAATGGAATGGCCATGACACTCCCAATGGGTTCCAGTGTAGGGTTCAAGATGCCTCCCCCCTCCCCATTCTGTCATTCAGATGGCTTTGAGCCAAGACCTCAACATATGGCTCAGCACAATTACAACATATGGCTCAGCACAATGGATTTTCCCCATTTACACTCTCTCATCTGTGAATCAGAGTGGTTTTATTTAGCCCTGTCTTCTACTTAAAATTATCTTATTCAGTGGCTGGAGTCCTGTTGCAGAGCATAGTAAGTTGCACTAGAGTAGACTCATTCATCAGTTGGGATTTGTTGAGTCAACTCTGCCATACGTTCTGCTTCCAATGGGCCCATTGCAGTTGCGATTTACTGTGCTAAAGCAAGGCACAGTTAGAGTAGGCTCTTTAGGGTCAAAGGAGTGTTTCAGGCAAGGAAAGGTATGAGTTTTAATGCGTTGATTAGTAAATCATTTGATGGAATGAACTGGCATAAATCAGCAGGCGCTGAAACCTAGTCTCCGGATTTGTGGGCATGTGAGGCCATCTCCATAGAGTTTCCTGGTTATCCTGACTTCTTAAATGTGGTTGTGAGGGTTAATATTAAACCAGTACCTGATACTTTCGGAAGTGGGGGATCCCTCGCAGTGCCCACCGGTCTCCCGCTTGGTCGGATGTCCGCTGGAGAAACAGAAGTGAAGAACCAGCAAGACTGAATGTTCCAGCAAGGAGATGAACACATCAACTATAATATGTGGGGTGTGAAAGGGCACCCCTTTCATTTGGGGCTGGAACGTCTTCATCACAAGGAAAGCCCAGGAATGCTTCCAGAGGTGGGCTTTTGGTGCCTCCCCTGGGCAGCCATTCCACCGGCTTAACACATTTTTGTTTCCATTGAGAGGGAAAAAGGTGAAAAAACATCATGGGAGAATTCAAGAAACTGTCTGTTTTGTGAACACCATCTTGGGAACGAGTCAGGAGGACTGTCGAATCCAAGCATCATCTGGAAAGACCCTAAAGCTTGTAGAGTTTTTCTTGGCAGAGGTTTATGAAATTATGAATGTCATGGAGAGAGTAGACGGAGGGCGTTCTTTCTCTCGCTAATACTTGAACTGAATGTTGCAAGAATGTCATTCGGTAATGGATTTCAGGGCAGGCACTAGGAAATTAATCTTTTCACAGTACATAATTAAATTATGTCAGAAGATGTGGTAAAAGCAACAAGCTTAACAGGCTTTGAAAAAAGAAGAAAGGCATCAGCTGAGTACAGAGAATTCAGGCTTTATAAGCATTACTTTTTTTGGGGGGGGAGGGGACAATGTTTTTGGACTGCTGGTCCAAAAATGGGACTCCTGTGTTCTAGGTCTATGTGTGGGTATTCGTCATGAGAAACAAGCAAGCAAAAAACCCTCCATGTCAAGGTAGTGTATCTCTGAGTACCAGCTCCTAGGGAGGAACAACAGGTCATGACCTTCACCTCCTTCATGCCTTCCCAGTGACCTTCCTGGGAGGGTCTGGTTGGCTTCTGCTACAAAAACACCCTTTGGCCCAGGTGGACCTTGATTCCACTGTACCAAGGTAGCTTGCAAGGACTGAGCAAACCTCGTTCAACCTCTTTGCCAACTATTTACCAAGGCAGATAGGGGGCTTCCCAGTCCAACTGCCATCCGCTTTACAGGTCCTATGTTCCGATCCTCCGGTGAGATAGTAGCCACTCTGGCAAGAGTAGATCAAGGTGTAGCCCAAGGAAGGCAGGTCCAGAGCACCCACGTTGGCATGGGGTGGGATCTCCGGCTCTTTGCAGTTATGAGCTGGAAAGGAGGAGGTGAGAACACTATGATAAAACCAGTTTCCCAGAGCATAAACTGTGCATAGATAAGGGTCTCTCTTGATCTAGGAATAGCCAGTGGCTGTCTTCCTAGCATAACTGGCGCTTATTGGGGGATTCCTTTCAGTTGCCCTCTCCCATTACCAACTTGTTATTTTAGCAATATATTTGTTCATTAGATTGAAAACAGAATGCCCCCAAAGTATCTTGGCCTCCGGATACTCAGTGGCTGAAATCCTGTCATTCTGTGTAGTAAAGTTGCACTGGAATGGGGTCATTGAATCACTGGGGATTTCGTGAGCCGATTCCTTTGTAAGTTCCATCCATTCAAATGGCCATTCTGTAGTTGTGACTTTCTTGAGTGTAGTACCTGGAGTAGGCCTGTTTGAATCAATATTACTTACGGAGGAGCTGGCTCACCAGATCCCCACTCGTTCAGTGGGTCTTCTCTCACTCAGCTTACTGTACTAAGCAAGGTTTAGCCAGGGTTAGGGAAAGTTATTTCTTCTGGCTGGATCTCCATGACTGTGTCTTTGCTCTGAATACTAGGCTCAACTATCCAGGGGAGAGGGACGACTGGGGAGGGGTGCAATGACGTCGTTGGAGCTCAGGCTCCACCGAGTTTCGAGGTTTAGTCCTGGAGGATCTGCAAGTAGCACATGAAACCCTAGAGACGCTGCTGCCTGTCAGTGTTGACTGCATTGAGCCAGGTGGACCAATGATCTGATCTGAATAAAACCACTCCCTACAAAGCATTTTTAGACCATTTATTTCCTGCTTGCCCACCCGTTTCCCCGATAGATCAGAGTGAGAAAAGGCTAGTTTTTAGACTGCAACCATCAGAATTCTGGGATTCTGAGTTGTAGTCCAAAAGGGTAACTTTTCCAAGCTCTCCAATGGCCTGCCTTCCTGAGAGGCATCTCTCAGCCTGTAGATTCCCAGCTCCGGACTTTCTCCGTGAACCTTATTTAAATGTCTTGCCTGACCGCACATGCCAGAGCCCAGTGTTACAACGCACGCAGTGCCACAAAGGCTAGTTCTGCCATTCTCCATTTAAAAACAAAAAACAACCCCAGGCCCCAACACTCACGGATGCATTCAGGCTGCACTCCGCTCCACGTCAGGTTCGGAAGGCAGGTCCTCGTTGTGGATCCTTGCAGCAAATACCCTTTGTGACACTTAAAAAAGGCAATGCTCCCGACCTGTTGGAAGGAGATACCAAGACTGAATCAGTAAAGGCATCATCCTTGCCAGTCCTTGCCCGGGAACCTACCATTAATCCCCTTCAGCAAGATGGTGCCCGTTTAATTTATTCTGAAATGGTGTATGTAAATTATTTTAATGTACTATATTATTTTATCTCTCTCTGCTCTTTCCTTGTCCAGGGCACTGTTGGAAAACAGTGTTTTTGCCTTACAGTTCCCGGATGTTGTTGCCTTACAATTCCCACCGCGTGTGGCCAGTGTTGAAGGACAATAGAAATTGTTGTCAAGTAACTTTATGGAAGTCCACTGGCTGCTTGATCCTGCTCTAGGCGGCTCAAAGCTTCAGCGGAGAACCCTGCTCCGTAACATCTTTGTGTAGCAGAAAGAAAGAGTGTGTGTTTACTATGCGACCAGTACTTGCAATGTCCTCCTTCATTTCTTAGATGTTGTGATGAGCTTGCTTAGGACCTGTTGGGTTGTGTGGGGTCTTGAAAAGGGCCTCTGGACAACTAGAGAACATGCTTTTGACCTTCCCAAAGCAGGGTTTCCTTTTCTGTGCTTCTGCAGCTCTCGATGCTCCCGCTAGACTTGTTCACGGATTCCTTCTGGACTTCCTTCTTTTGGACTCAAACTTCGGTCACAAGTCAAAGACCTTCCTCTTCAGCTATGTTTTCCAGCAATAAGTGGGTCTCTGTACTTTTAAATGTTTTAAATGTGCTTTAAATGTGTTTTTAATCTTGGCTTTGATCTTGTTTAATATTTATTTGTGTTTTAAGAGGGTTTTGTATAGATTTTAATCTATTACTATACCGTTTTAATTGTGGGCTAGTTTTAATTGTGGGCTGCCTTGGATCCTTATATTGCAGCGCATCATCAGGCATTTTTTTTCCAACTTGTATACCCATCTGCAACCAACTACATTTTCATTTTCAGGCAACTTTACTGGTGAAAACACTTTGTGCTCCTGCAAAGACATATTCATTTAACAATATAATCTCTCAGCGGTTGGAAAGCAGACACAGGAGAGAGTAATTGTCTTCTTGGTCCCTGGAGGGTCTTGGTTGTATTGTTTGTGGGACATCAAGGAGAGAGGACACAGCCGCCTGGCATTTCTGTGTTGTGTCTGGATAGTGCTCTTCCCTCTAGGCATCAACTGCCCTTGTGGTGGCCATCAGAGAGAAATAAAGCAATGGCCCTTCTGTTGCGCTTAAGTGCAGTTTCTGTGATCTTACTTACTTAAGAGACTTAGAACTGCAAGAACTGGAAGGGACCCTATGGATCATCGAGTTCAGCCCTTCTCAAAGAGGCTCAGTGGGGAATTGAACTCCCAGCCTGGGCTCCTCAGCCAGAGACCTCAACCACTATGCTATCTAGCTAGACGTGCTGAACTGTGACCAGAAACTGAACTACACTGAGGAACTTTGCAACCAAGAATTTAATGCTTGAGTTTGCTTTCCACCTCCCAGTTCTTGCCTCCATTCCCTTTTTTTTTCTGTGCCTTTAAGACTTTAAAGGACTATTTCGTTTCTGACATTTGCAAGCTGCTCTAGAACATTTACACTTTATATAAATAAATGTATCAGGACATGGCTTAGGTTCTTCTAAGTTTGCTTGTTAGATACAGGCGCACGATCAATGAGCATCTTCTAATCCAGCCAAGCTTTCCTCAGTGCTCCTATAATATCCCACCCGTTTTCTCATTCCTGACACAGCTTAGTGATCATATTACAACCTTCCAAGTGAGCACAGCTTGCTGCGGTCCTGTTTGCTGCATCTCAGGATTAGCAAGGGGAGTCAGAGCTAATACACTGAATCCCAGGATTAAGGGTGGCAAATTAGCAGCTTTTGCAAGGGGGGGAAATTCTACTTTTTTGGATCAAAGGCCTACAAAATGTATTATTAATCCATTTCCATGATTCATCTTGGGAAGGAAGATGCTTTTCAGGAGGGGAGGGGAAGGGAAAACCACAGACGCAGGATGAGTTACATCCAAATAGATCGCTAAGGATTATCTGAGTTGCACACGAGCAGTTTACAAGAGGATTGGCTCTCCAGCTCCCGAGAAAGCTGGTTCAAAATAAGCAGTATGAACCAACGGCAAGCCCCTATTTCTAAACACTTGTTCTTTTAATTGAGAACTTGCTTCCAATAAAGACTAACTCCAGGGTAGCTAAATAAGAAGGTGTGCGTGTGGATATATATATATATATGGATCACAGCTGCACTGAAATTACTCCCACGCTGCAGTGTGTCCAAATCAGAAAGATGGTGTTCTCCCCTGATACCTCAGAGCTTCATGTCATCTCTCTCCAGAACTTGGAAAACCTCCCTTTTGGACTACAATTCCCAGACCCCCCTGTCCCTTTTTGCTCTCACAGGCCAACCAATTCTTGTTCTCTTATGCTCTCTCAATGTCTCTCATTCTCTCCCCCCCCTCACAAACCACAGAGAGATTGTGGTACACTCGAAGAAACGCAGCTCAGCATCTATGCCACCTCCTCCACTGCCATGATGGGGACACCAGCATCTCACAAGGGTGAGGATGAATTTCTGCCCCAAGATTCAGCAATGAGCTTCAGAGATCATTCTGGATTTGAAAGGTGAGCGTACCCGCAATTCTGTAAGATATTTAGGCAGATTCATGGATGATAAAACTATCAATGGTTAATAGCAGGGTTTAGAACCAGGGTGGGTTTGATTTCAATCAAATCGGTTTAAATCACAATTTGAGTCACTGCAGGGTGGATGAAAATCAGTAACTTAAAAAAAAATCCCAAGTTCAGACTATGGGCTGAATTTAGGTCTGGAGACAGTAGTAGTTAGGTGCTATTGCACTTGGGGGCCTCCGTTGTGGGCTTCCCAGAGGCACTGGATTGGCCACCATTACGCTGGATTGAAGAGGCCTTCAGTCTGAACTGGCATGGTTTTTTATGCTATGCACCTGCGTTTCCATTTAAATCAAGGAAAACAGTGAGTGCCTATACGACATTACATAGAAACTGCAGCAGAAAGGGAGAAGCATTTAGTTTAGCTCAGAGGATTCACTGAGCAGATGAAGAAGATCAATTAAACAGAAGAGGAAACGGAGGAAGAGGAGAAGGAAAGATGGGAGTACATCACCTGATAACCTTGGGAATTGTTCTGGATCCCAAAAAGAGGCACGCCGGGATCCACACACGTTGTAAGAGTCGAGTCTGAATAGAAAGAAGAACATGCAGAAAGGCGAGGAGTGGTTAATTGGGCCTGAGTTACCCCTCTTTCCCTGCCCAGGGAACTTCTCAGATCACCCTTTACAGGCCTAGCATTGAGCCGAAGCAATTGAATTCAAGGTATAAATACGAATTTTGGGGAGAACATCCTTGAGGAGCGAGTGCAGGAACATCAGCCCAGCCCCAGAATGAATTTTAGTTTCAGTAAGGGTGAGATTTTTCTGAAGGCGTGGGCAGGCGTGGACACCACTCTCACTGGCGGGTGATTTTCAGGGGTACAGTTACTACCAGTATCTCCCACACCCCCGGTTTTCTTACCTATGCAGCTTGGCTGCGTTCCACTCCACGTCCCATCGGATTGGCAGAACCTTCGAGCTGAGCCCACTAGGACGAGTGGAGGCGAACAGGAATACGAGACAGAAGACCGGTAGGTAAAGCCCCTGTCTTCGCGCCTCCCTCCAGCTGGAATTCCTGGGTCGCCACAGAAAATGGCTGCAAAAGAGCAGTTGGGTTACTTTGGGGAGGGCGGGGGGCTCCTTCACTTGGGCAAATTCTCCTGAATCCGAAGTCATCCCCACATATGAGGACTGTGATTTTTAAAAGAGGGAATACTTCAGCATGGGTGGAGGATGTGTGCTGGTTGCCTTCCACAAGCTTCTGTCTTGCTGTCGATTAGGGTTTAATTAATTTCCATCTTCACACCATTTCCTGGCAGGCCGACTGAGGGAGAACAGAAGGTAAGCTTCTAGTTTTCACTCTTGCTTTTGCTTATATTTAAAACAGATCTGCCATTCCAAAGGCGAATCACTCTGAAGCGATTCTGGGTGGAACGGCAACATTTGGTTGTTTTACAGCAGGTGGGGATTAGGTGCACCAACATAAGATGCTCCTTTGTGTTTTTGTTTTTATATCCGTTCCATAAATGCCAATGGGGAAAAAAAGGAGCCACACCTTAAAACCCATGTTGACCACAATGCCTTGTTTAGAAAGAAAGAAATGCATGCAGTGTAGGATTTTAGCCAGTGAAACTCCCTCTGAACCTGAACCATCCAAAACTGCCTTAACTGCATACAGTTGCCTTTAGAGAAGGGTTTAAACGTTTTGGGATCTCCAAACCCGTCACGGGCATCAAAAACAAGATTTGGAAAGGGCTTGGCAAACATGGCCAGCTGATGCTTCTTCTTGTTGGAGGAACAAGTCATTTCTCCCTGGCTTCCTGTTCACTTAAGACCTGGACCTCATTGAGCACCATGAATAAGCCTGTCACCTTTTCTGGGGCCTGAATTATGTTGGGGAGGCAGCAAAATAATCTCATTGACAAGAGAGCCACTTGGTGGGTTTGCAAGCATCTGGCCATGAAGTGGCGCATGTCCCGCCCCTTCACTGCTTCTGCTTTTGTCTACAACACAGCCCGGTGGTCTTGCTTACGAAAACATTGGGGGAGTTCTCCGCTCCAGGTCCCGTTCCCTTCGCAGGTGAGGACGGCAGGCAGGGAAAGCTGGTATCCTTCCAAACAGGTGTAGCTGACGCTTGAGCCCCAGCTGAAATCCGATCCCACCACTTTTCCATTCGGGATCGCTTGTGGAGGTTTACAGATGATAGCTGGAGGGAAGGAAGGCTTATTAAATCCCAGGTCATGATTAAGGGGCGCTTAGAAAAGTTGCTTTTTTAAAACTACAAGATTCCTACTGGGGGTTTCTGCGAGCTGCAGCTTTTCTATATTCGGCAATGAAAGATGAATGGTACCCAGTTGTTCCTCTCCCTAAATTTGAACCAGAGAATGGAATGATTCCAGAGTAGCATCCTGATTTATTGATTGAGAAGATGTCTGCTTTCTCACTCCCAAATAGAATCACTCAAAGAGGCTAACAAAGAATAACAATTACTGTTTCATTTCGTTTATTTGTTTAAAAGTAAGCATTTCAGCAAGAAAGTGGAATGAAGATGCTATCGGTAGTCTATCCACACATTTCTATTCCCTCTTGGAAGGAGATCATTCTAATCCAGTGGTCCCCAACCTTGGGCCCATTCCCTGTTGGAAGGAGGTCATTCTAATCCATTCCCCATGTGGTGACCTGCACAGCCATGCTGAATTATTGAGGGTTGGGAATGTTTTTCTCTTGTTTGGATTGCAACTCCTAGAATCCTCCAGCCGGGAGGCCAAGTTCAGGGATTCTGAGAGCTTCAGTCCAAAAAAAGGTTTGAAGGTCTCTAAATTAACCCCCTTTACAAAATGCCTGTAAACAACTCTATTAGCCTGTTACAAATGACATTATTTGGAAAGTCTTAGATTATACCGCAGTACCCCCTTATCACTATCCACTGATTCACAGTCAGAAAATATTAAAAACATTGAAAGAAAAAAATCCTAAAAATATGTCTCTCTAGAGATGAAGTTATTAGAACGGGACACGAGAGGGAGCCAGAGACCATGCGATGTACAGCGCTCACTAGAGAAATATATTCCCATGGTGTCATTACCAGAACTGGCTATTAGAGGGAGCCAGAGGACATGCTAGGTACAGTGGTGCCCCGTATAGCGAGGTTAATCCGTTCCGGATTAACCTTCGCTATGGGGAGGGGAAACATTACGGAATGGAAAAGCCTTTCGTTTAATGTGTTCCAAATAGGCACAAAACTCACCGTTCTGCGATGTTTCCCCCATCCGGCCGCCATTTTCGCGCCCTCAGTAAGCGAGGGCAGGGCACGAAAACGCTGTGCGCGGCCATTTCGGGCGTCTGGCGGCCACTTTGGAACCGCCGAACAGCTGATTGAAAAAATCGCTAAGTGAAAATCGTCGCTAAGCGATTTCTGCCCATTGGAACCATCGGTATTCCTTTGCATTAGCGATCCAAAAAACCGGATCGCTATGCGAACTCGTCATTATACGGTGCGCTCGTTAAGCGAGGCACCACTGTATAGTATTTGCTATAATCCATGTTTTCCAGCATCTGCTAGGGATGGGCTTGGAGCCAATCCCGTGCAGATGGGGAGCCTACTGTACCGCCACGTTCACTGTGTGTTTTAAAAGCAAATCCATCCAACGGTCCTACCTTTACAGACTGGTTTTGTGCCATTCCAGGTCCGGTCCTTTGTGCAGATTAAAGCGGAGGCCCTGTCTGACTCCATCATGTAGCCAGGCATACATTGAAATGCCACTGTCTTATTGTGGGTGAAGTCACTGCCCAGTCGAATGCCATTGGCTGGCACGCCGGGATCCCCGCAGTTGATCACTAGAAGAGGGATGATGGGAAAAGAAAGAGAGACATTAGGTTTTCCAGCATTCCTTAGAAGCAGTGTTGCAAACCTGGCCTCTAAATAATTAGAAATAGGAATGTGACAAATATTTTCCAAAGTCTATTATGATCCAAAGTGGATCATTATTCTTATAATACAGATTGTTATTTCTCTTTTGCATTGGAAATCCCTTGTGTTTTGCATTTAAAATCATGCATTTTGTGCAGAACACAATTCTTTTGTTCAAAATACAAGGCAATATCAAGTTTCTTGTTGGACAAAAACACCTACATAGTTTTGTAAAAATCCCCTGATGGAAAAAAAAATACATAGAAAATTTTCTGAGCATGCCCATCAAGAATATAATCTTTGAATATTTTTCGTCTTACCCCTAGGAACAAAGAATGGGAAGATTTACATCCCTCCTGATCATTTTTCCCCCCAAGCAGTTCATGTTCTTTCCCAGCAGTGCCTTGCTGAATGTCCCCCTTCTGTCCTCAAGCTACTCACCTGTACATTCTGGCGTGGTCCCTGTCCAGGTTCCGTTGACAGTACAATGCCTGCTGAGCACCCCAGTGGAGTAATAGCCCTCCCGACACTTGTAGATGATGGAGCTGGAGAACACTAGACCGTCATTAAATATCACTTTGGCGTTGCTGGGAGTCCCAGGGTTTCCGCACGATATAACTGCAGCGAAGGAAGGAAGCAGATATCACCAACAAAACCATGTTATTAACGTATGTCAGGTGCTTATATTGAGCCAGAACACTGGTCTGTCTAGCGTTGTCTATCTCGGGTTGAAAAAAATCGCCATTTTGAACTGCAGCTATTGGACTTGAACTTCGAAGTTATTGCCCAGTAGCAATGCGGGGGGAGGGGGGGAGAGATTCTCCAGGTCTGACACTCTTGGGGAAAGCCGAGTTTTTCACATCTCCTGGGAGTATCACCGATACCTTACCTTGAGAATTCACATATTTGTGAGCGAAATTTGGAGAAATAAAAGTACACACAAAAGAATGTGTATGTTTCAAAATGTGAAGAGCTGAGCAGTTGGGGGGAAAGAAGCAGCACAAAGACTTGAGTCTTGCTTTTAGTGTTGGGATAATATTCTCCACCAGACCTGAGGTTGCTTTAAGGGGGAAGAGGCCAAGCCATTTGGCATATACAGATATGTCTTGAACAGAAGGAAATGCCTGGGGGTTATGGGGAGCAAGTGCCAAGGGGATGCCTGAGATCATTCATTCACTCTGCCCAATGGTAGGCAGAGTTGAACAGACTGAGCCCTAATGTCCTTGAACAGAAGGAAATGCCTGGGGGGGGGTATGGGGAGCAAGCAGCAAGGGGATGCCGGACTCTGCCCAGTGGTAGGCAGAGTTGAACAGACTGAGCCCTGGTTGGTGGTATTGGACGCATCAACTGCTGGCCCTTTAGAGATGCAGCCTTTGTTTGTTTTGCTTCTTGGCCATTTGGTGCAGGACAAGAGTACAGTGTGCTGAGATTTGCATCCAAACAAATCCACTTCTTTAAGAGGAGCTACACTTTAATAGATGTTATGGATTTTTTAAAAAAGAAAAATCTATTTCCTGGCTGGAGGTTCTCTGCTGAAGGATGTTTGGTTTTGGAGTGATAATTCAAAGTTTCTGACCAGGAAGCTCTGCTGTGGACATGAACTGAAACACTAAAGCGCTATAGCGCTAAACTCCACTGCACAGAACAAACAGACCTAAAGTAAGCCCTGCTTTCACGAGAGACAAAAAGTCACAGAAAGATACCGTTCAAAATCACTGACTGAAGGGAGACAAACTCCCTGTCGTTTGGATGGTGAGAAAGAAACATGAATCACATCAGGGCATAACCTGATACTTTCACCTGAAGAAATGATCTGTCTGCATAAATCCTGATTCTAAAAGCCTGCCTAAACATTGATTGCACATTGAAATCATATGTGCATGTAAGCAGAGTTTTAAAAAACTACCTTTTAGGGTGATAACTTTGAGAATTCCCAAAGCCATGCTAACGCGGGTTGGTGGGGGAAGGGATTCTTGGATTTACTGTGCAAAATAGAAATAAGGTTTCCAAATACAGTGGTGCCTCACACAACGATGAAAATAAGGTTTCCAAATAATTCTAACCACAAGCAAGAATACAGGAAATGCTGGGACCTCCTCCCACTCCAGAAAACCCCAGCACATTTTGTGGGCCCCGTGCATTAAAGAGCTCCAGGTCCTTGCAGCGTGTGCATCCTCCATCAAGAGCTTTGTTTTATTCCGACGCTTCGATGACCTGGGCCGATCAACCGTTTCCCTGCTTCCTTCAGATAAATAATGACTAATGATCTCCCTTCCATCTTTCTGGTGAAATTCTTCTAAGATGCCAACATATTTCTTGATTCAGCAGGCAGGCCTTTCATAGGCTTTATGGCCGTATCTTGGTGCTAAGAAGTGTTGGCATTAAAACTCTTATTTCCCTCCAGGTAAAATTCTATAAGCTGCCTTCTCCAGAACAGGTGGCTTTTACAGACCCCTGGATTGTCATATTTAGAAGAGTTTCCGCTTCTACAAAGAGGCCGAGATAAAATTTCCCTTTATCTTCGCAATCAAATGTATTTATTAAAGAGGCCGTCGCCCCCAGGACTATGAGACCCGCCTTGCCACCTTATCCTTATTCTGGATTAATGACCCCAGGCTCCCGTTTACAATTTTCTTGTAATAGAATAAAAGGCCTCCAATCGCTCCCTAGCGAGATACTATAACCTGTTTGCTGGAATCCAATCTCGGATCAAGATGCAGTAGAAATCCCCCGGCATCCTCTAAAGGACCAGGCAATTTCACACCGCGTTTAAATTAAAGAATAACTCACATTTGGGGTCATGATGCAAAAGTGTGTGTGTGGGGGAGAACAGTGACTGAACCTACACAGCCACTGTAAAGGTGCCTGCATTGGCCTGATCTGAACATGACACGGTACGACGTCAGTCAATTAAACCGGAACATGGAAACATTGATTTAAAATTAGACTTTCTCAGTATGAGGTTGCCTTCTCTTTTGCCACCTTTTGGTTCATTTTTATACACAAAAAGTCGCCTGGAAATCTGGAGGAGGAAGGGCAATGGAAACCAACGAGGAAAAAGGGCAGCAGTAGCTTTTGAAGGGGTGGAGTATGTGCGGCCTTTCAGATGTTACTGTTTCTCAAAGAGGCACTCTGGTCATCACATTGGGTTGGGATTTGGGGGAGATTAAGTTCTGGGCCCATCTGAACCATGAAACCGCCTGGGTGACTGGTGGAGGGGTTTCCAGTCACCGTCCTTGTGTCTGATCTACAGTACTTCTTAGGGTCGCTGGGATGACAAACGTCCAAGGAAAGGCTCTTTGGAGGAAAGACAAGGTATAATTATAACTCCCATTAAGCCCTTGCCAGGAGAGCTAATGGGGGAGGATTATGGGGATTCTAGTCTAACAAGATCAGGAAAGCCAGATTTTCTCCAGTTTTATATCTATTGGAACATATTTGTGAAATATCATGGTATCTCTTCGCTTCCTGCTGTACACCATTTGGTCTGCTCAGAGAGAAGTCGGGTTCCCTGCTCAGACACGGTTTGGTCTCCTGCTCAGACAGAAGTCTTGTCTCCTGCTCTGATGGGGCAATCATTTGCTTGGTTTTTCCTCTCTATTTTTGCAGTTTCATTTTAATGCCTGTTTCTATTTTAAAACTCGCTGGAAATTAAAGCCAAATGAAGCCTGACACTTCCGTGTGGAAAGTAGGTCTCAGAGACATGCGGCAGCCTGCACTGCATAAAACAAGAGGCGCAAACATAGCAGACTTCTAATACATGGCAATTAATTAACTGGCTTTATTTCAAATCATTTGTGGCCTTTGAAATATTGATTGGGATTTTTTTTTTTAAAAAAAGAAAACCCCTTTTCCCCTGTGAATTTTTATGATAATAGGGAGAATAAGAGGCTTTTCACATTACTAATCCCACAAGAGGGTAAGTGTTGTTTTCATTACCAAACAATCTAGAAAAATCTGAAAAAAATCTTTTGCTCTTTCTATAGGATGGTGACTCAGAGGTAGGGGGTCATTTATGCAGATGTGGGACCAGGTCAGTAGCATCCTATTCCCTGAAAAATCACACATCTGTGACTGAAAGGTCTTGAGGGTTCTCAAGTGTAGGAGAAAAGCAGAATTTTGAGGTTTTTCCACCTATGCCTGGGCCTGTTTAATTTACTAGACTGCAAAAGGGTTTTGCCTTTTAAAGAGGGCACAGCCTTCCACTGTACTTTCCAACCTCTCAAAATGTTACGAATCGGTAGCAGAATTGGTAATAGACAACAATGGGATTGGAGAGACAGAAAGGCTGGGCCAATGGAAGCACTACTGGGGTGCAAGAGGATTGTTGAGCTGTAAACGATTCTTGACCTGTGCAAGATAATTGTCCAGAGGGCAGGGTGCTCCATGAAGAGAAAAAAAAACTGCAAAGGGGTGCTTGAACTAATAAGTCACCAGAAGAGGGACTGATAAATAACAAACAGCCAGCAGGAATCAGAAGGAAACAGTTGTAGAAGTTGTAGAAACAATGAGAAAGCAATTTCAAGTGAAGAACCCTGAAGTTGCCAAAACCTATTAAGAGGAGGACTGCGATCCTTGCTTGGTGGGACACCTCAAGAAACATCAACAAGATGCCTGTCTTTGGCCCGGCCCCCAGCTGTAGAGGATGTTTGATTGTGTGTATGCATGTGTATATTTGTGTGAAGGCATGTATTGATGTGATTTACAGAGGACTCAAAAATAAACTAATAGCCCTAGAAATCCACTTGGTTTCCATGACATTCTTTCTCCGATCTACCACCCTTCTCTAAGGAACCTTAGAGAATTTGAGACACAGTTTTTCAAGAGGGAAAGCTGACTGCCAGCCATTTCTAGCCCAACCAGTCCTGGAAGGATTCTGAGTTTTCCTCTCTTCGTCTAAGGAGACATTTAGGATGTCATGGAGAAACATGCTCACTCTCCTCTGTCTTCTTGCTGAGCTGGTTTTCTAGTTATGATGGCTTCTGTTGCCTCTGTGGGATCCTTTCTAAAATGTGAACCCTCCCATTTTTTGTGCGGTGCATTCGTCGCCATGAATAGATGCAATTGTTAGGGGAGCTTAGCAGTTCCAATATTGGTTTAGCCAGCAAAATCATTCTTATGTTTGCAATCTGTTTCAGAATGCATGGGATACAAATTGGTTTGCCCTTAGCTGCTATGAGATTAATATTTCTCAGCCAATTATCCGAGAGCGTATGCCAGTGATTTGAAAAAATGGAACAAATACAGACACAAATAAGGCACCTAATAATCCAAGCCAACTACAAGTTAGCAATCTACACTTTGGTTGCACACCTCAAACCAAAGCCAAAGGTAACACTTTAATGAATACTTGTTTCACTTCAAAAAAACAAAAACAAAAACACCCCACATGCAACAGTCTTTCGTTTCTCTCTTTGAATCTGGAAGATGTTAACAACAACCTTTGAGTCTCTAACCACTGCTCCACACTGCTCACTGAGTTCTGGATATTGTGTGGTCCACCCAGGTACTTTAGATTTATAAGGCAAGAAGAACGCAGATAGGCTTTTGCCAAGGAGCTCTGGAGGAGAACTAGAGGAAAGAGGGAGTGACCAGTCCAGGTGGACACAGTGAGTCTCATGGCTGAGGAAGGATTTGAACCCAGGCCTTCCAGTTTTAGTTCTAGCTCAACACTCTAAACACTTTAGCAGATATTTCAGCTGAAATACTTAAGGACTGAAATGTTTTTGTGCAGTAAATGCAGGTGAAATACATATGCAAATAGACTCACACTTTCATTGGGGCAAATCTGCCCCATATTTCTTTCTGTTTTTGTTCTGCATCAAGTTGCAAGAGTTTGGTGTGGTTTCCTCCCCCCCTCATGCATTGAACTACATAGACACTTTTGTTCTGCATCAAGATGCAAGAGTTTGGTGTGGTCCCCCCCCCTCATGCATTGAACTACATAGACATTTTTGTGCATTTTTCCTAATGTATATTTAAGTATACTGTACTTATGCTCTAATTTATGTGTAGTGGATAGAGTGATGGACTAGGGCTCTGGAGAACAGGGTCCAAATCTCCACTCAGCCATGGAAACTCGCAGGGGGAATGGAGTTGGTAAAACCACTCCTTAAATGCCATATTTATCTTGAAAGTCCTGTCAGGGTCTGTATAAGTCGGTTTCGACTTGACGGCACATAACACACTTGCTCTAATTTATGCATTCTCCCCCAGTGATGGAAGGGTGTATTTATTTCATGCACATCTTCTCCACTACTCAAGTCTTTCAATTATGCACCTCCTCCTAGTATCATTTTCCTCTGTGCTCATAGTTTATGCACACTTGGCCTTTCCCAAACTCCCAAAGAACGGGTGGTTCTTCCTGCAATGAGGTGCAAAGAGGCTTCTATCAAGGACGTCACAAGCAATGGAATTCTCTCCAGCCTTTCTTACTGCAGCTCATAAAGAAACAGGGATTTAACAATACTATCACGAGACACCAGATTTCTGGGTTGTTTAAATCAGACCATGTTTTAAGAGACAAGATGCAGAACGTTGGACTCCATGGCTGGAAGGCCACTGCTTTTTACGCCACACATGGAAGCCGAATCGCGGAAGCTACAGACGCTAACTGATGAGGTGCTGGTCTTGAGACCAGACACACAATCAACCTGCAATCAGCAGTGGTCAATTACTCACAGCAGCTTCCACTAATTTCCTGCCACAAATAGTGAAAAGCAACAGGATTCTGGTCAATAATTTGCATGACTCTTCCAACGGCATCATTCTGTGATTTAGAAGGGCCCTGAGTGGCAGGCCTCAAAATACCATCTCCTTTCTCTCTCCAAGTCCTGAAAATAAAAGCACCCGCAATCTACCCATCAATGTGAATTACCTTCTGTCCCCTGATCTATGTGCACCTAACATTAAAGGATCTGCAGGCATAATATTCCAATTATTCATAAAGCTGTGATTAAAAAGCCCTGCCTGGGATTTGTCTTCCTGGTTGCTTTTGAACTTGACAAGTTATTTACCCAGGGATTAATATATTTCACCCCCTCCCTACAGTGAAAAAAAGAGAAAGTTAACCAAAATTATGATTTTTCAAGGGGAAGAATCAAATCCTTCTGATACCAGAATATTAATAAATGGGGCATGCCATCTTTTCATTCCTTGGTTGCACTGGTTTGGAATAAATTTCCAGCTCATTTGCAAACCTGGCTTTTCTGATCAGCCAAAGGAATGCGCAAACATGTTTGGGCCTCTTTGCACGCTGTTTTCCTGCCTCTTTTAACATTTTTGTAGTTTTCACTGATTGATTTTCAAACACTTCTGTAACAGCAGCCGCCTGAAAATGATGCCCCCAAGTTCATCATGCTGGATTACCTGTATTTCCCCCCCTCCTTTTCTTCTCATAATAGCAAACCAAAAGTTTTTTTTAAAAGGAGAAATCTATATATGAATGTTTATGAGGCATCTAACAGGACACTTAATGCAAATGAATCTAGCATGAGAAAGGGGAGAGAAAGGCAAAGAATTTGTTTCTGCTCTATTTCTTCCCACCTACATGAACCAACAGTGGGGTGGATTAACTGCAAAGAAGAGACCTTTCAGCTGCTTCTGGGGCCTTGCTTGGAAATGTCCACTGTTCTTAAATAATCATTATGTGCTGTCAAGTCAGTTCTGACCTATGGCGAACCTTTTCCGGGTTTTCTAGGTGGAGAATACTCAGAAGTAGAGAAGTATTCTCTACCGGGAAAGTAGAGTAGACCTTTAGGCCAAAATCCTGTTGAGTGAATTACGCCTGGGTAAGTGTAATGAGGTCACCAGCAGGGGGAGACTGCTGGTAATTCAAGAATTCCTGCTTTGATCTCAGGGTTTGCCCAGCTCTCTTGCAACTTATCCACTGTAAGTCTTGTGGGTGTGTTGGGTGACCTTCATACTGAAACACTGTCACTAATATCATCTGAGATGAAAGACTGGTAATTAAAGAGTTCCTGCTTTGGTCCCAGCAGCTGCCTAACTTGCCTGCAATAAGACTGATGGTGGGTGAGTTGCAGGTGACTCTGGAGAGCCATAAGATGACTGCAGGAACTCTTCATGACCAGCAAGTTCCTTTGGCAATTTTAGCATACAAGTGCCTTCATCACATTGTGTATGAGTTGTGTGTGCCCTGAAATCATCTTTAAAAAAATGGCAAATGGCAATTTGCCGCTGATGATAACACTCTTGCACACATGGAGTTGCATTACAGGATTTCAGCCATTTTTAACACCAAAAACGAGAGAGAGAGAGAGAGAGAGAGAGAGAGAGATTTCTTTTGGAAAACTCAATGTAATCACTTCTAATCATTTTCTGTTTTTCCAGAAGGGGGTGGCACTCCTTGGAGCAAGACTGGTGTGTATCCATGGAAGATGCCCCCCTCCCAGGTCCTCCAAAATGGCTCATTCTTATTCAAAGAGCCTCTAAAAAGCTCTGCACCACGCCACCTGCTGTTCTCATCTCTGTTCCACCTGGAAGAGGAGGATGAAACCTGCCTCACAGTTTCTGCACCAGCTGCTGAAACGGCAGAAGCTGGAGCAAGACCCAGAAGTATAGGACAATAGTTAGTCAATTTTAGTTTAGGGTTGGCAGACAGAAGAGGCTGGCGAAAGTGACTCAAAGAATTACAATAAGACCCCTGTATGAGCGTTGGTTCCAATACCCCCGGCAGATGCTGAAAACGGCAGATAATAGTCAACACTATACATAGCATGGAAAAACTTTTAAAATGCAGAACAGTATTTTCACATGTATTACTAGAAGTGGCCACTCCAGAACAGCATTTTCACACGTATTACTAGAAGTGGCCACTAGAGGCAGCCAGAGACCATACTATGTATTCTTCAACAATAATACATAGCATCATATCTGGCTCCATCTAATACCTGATTTTAGTAATAATGCATAGCATCGTATCTGGCTCCATCTAATACCTGATTTTAGTTTCTTTAATATTTTCAGACTGTGGATAAGTGAAACTAGGGGTACCAATCCTGCAGATACAGAGGTCCTCCTGTATTCCCACTTGTGACTTGACCCGGCCTGCTCCTTGTATGACACACACATTTATGGTGACTTGCTAAGCTCACCCACCTTCGCATTCTGGCTGAGTGCCGCTCCATGTTCCATTAGCTTGACATACTCTTTGGAGTGAGCCCCGGAGGGTGTAGCCTGGCTCACAGCTGAACGAGACTGTACTGTCCACTCCTAGATCATTGCCACTGTGCCGAATGCCATGAGAAGGGATTCCTGGATCACCGCACAGTCCCCGGACGGTTCCTGCCCAAAGGAAAACAGGAGCCTTGTCATTTGCCAAGCTTGGAAGTAATCAGTGACAAACCACTTGCCTCTGCAAGTCTCTGGCTGCAGAGCCCGAGGTTGGAAGTTTGAGTCCCCCCACGGGGCCTCCTTGACAGGGGCTCCACTCCCATCATCCATAGGGTCCCTTCCATCTCTGCAATTCTATTATTATTATTGCAAATGGGCTAATGTGTGGAGAATACAAATTCTCTTTCTGGTCTGTAATTTGACATTTTGATAGTTGAATTGCCAGAGCAGTGTTGCATTGGGTTATGGAGTTGAGTAGAATGCACACCATGTATGGAAATGACATTTATTCTCTTTCTGGTCTGTAATTTGACCTTTTGATAGTTGAATTCCCAGAGCAGTGTTGCATTGGGTTAGGGAGTCTCCTGGAGTTGAGCAGAATGCACACCATGTATGGAAATGACATTCAGCGTGAAAATGCTCTTGGTTAGCTCTGGGTACAGTCTTAGCCAGATGTAAGCAGAAGCCACTGCTGCCACTGTTCGGGAATATTTCTCTTCCCCCCACCCGACCCCATCAGCTTAGGCTCCCAGCTCTGTTCTCCTTCCAACTGAAAATGACAAGACGTTTCATAGCCACCTGTTGCTCCTGCCGAGATGGAGCGGCTGGCTTTGGTCGGGCACCCAGTGGAGAAACAGACGCTGCAATGAGCCACTGAGTCCTTTGCTCTCGGAGTTAAGAGGAAGGTGAGCCAGCCCACGAGGCCAAGGGATGGCTCGACAGCTGGAACAGCGCTGGACCCTGCTCTCCTACAGCAGCCAGTCTGTCCTTGACTTCCCCCCCTCTAACCAGCTTTGTAGACACAGAGACATCCCTCAGTCTGGGGTGGCCAGGAAAGCTGCAAAGCCTCCTTCATCCCTGTTCCTTTTAACAGGACATGTGGGGGATGGAATCGATTTAAAACACCCACCCACATAAAATGGGCAAAAGTCTACTGCTGGCTTATAGCTTCGACCCCTGCAGTTCTGAATGGCCTGTGTCGGATGCAAACATCTATTGTGAACTTTTTGGAAAAAAACACACATTGCAACGAATGACTTGCAAAGGAGAAAAATATCCTCTCATGTACAAATCTGGGGAAGCAAACCGAAGGTGCCTCACCATCCCCCACCGAACTCCTAAACAGAGAGGCAGATCCATTCGCTTTCTATTTTAACCCCTCAAATCATGGCTTAGTTGTCACAAGAGGATATGTTGATCCATTTGCTTTACATGTGGGATGAGTGAACTGTGACTTTCTCTGAGGGCCGGCTCTACTATTAGACAAGAGTAAGACAACTGCTGCAGATGACAGATGCTGGGGGGGGGGGGGA